CCCCCCCCCCCCCCCTCCCCCCCCACCTCACAAGTGTGAATTCCTCAGGGAGGTGCCACTTTCATCCTCTCGTTCCTCCCACATGGTTCTGGCGAGCTAAGAAAACATTTATCTGTCTGAGCTTGGCCTTCATAATTCCATTCCATCACAATATCCAGTATCTTATTGCCTTCCATGTCATTCTTGTAACTTGTTATTTCCAAATCTACATTTAAATCAGTTTCAGCTTATCCAGTAGGGCTTGTTCCTCTTCCACAACATCATTTACAATCTGTTTATAAATGATAGTAAATATTTTTTAAATTAATTCAATTAATTTGAATCAATTGTTCCAAAATATCCTTAAATGCATCTGGTGTTAAAATATTTTGTTCCATTGTTGGCAAGTAATTTAGGTGTTTCTCCTTTAAATGCACTTTTTAATTCCTTCTGGTTCCCTCTAGTGTCCAAACTTCAAAGTCCATCTTATGTTTCTATTTTTAGAGTTAAAAAACATCAGCAGTTTCCCACAGGAAGGATTCATATAATTAATTTTAAAGTCTTATTTCACATCTATCTGGACCCGTAGTCCATTTAAAACTTTCCAAAATCAACACTCTAATCACCCCTTTGCTGTTTACTCCAAAAATAATTTTTTCTGAGTCTTTAATTTTGTATTTATAAATCCTTTTGTTATGGACTGAAGGAGACTCCCCCAATGAATACTGTAAAGCTTGCTGTTTCAAGGGTTCTTAATATTTAAAAAACAGTTAAAAGGTAATTCCAAAAGTGATTAAGAGATGAGGATCAGTCGAACTTAAAGTCCTTAGAGGTTACATTACGCTTGTGAGCCTGATGAAATCCCTTGACTCCCAGCTGCATGACACCCAAGTGACTGCAGAAACATCGGTTCCTGCTGTCTACTCATAAGTAGCAGCTGTCCAGAGTATGTATGGGCAATCTCATGATCTCTCCTTTCTCTGGAGAGATTTCAGCAGTTCGGATACAGCATTCAGCTGCTGATTCAACTGTAATGTTGTCCCTGCTGTTCAGGGACATCCATTCGCCATGTTCTCACTGGAAGTGACCCGTGTTCTTCTCCTTTCTCCATGCATGCAAGGGACTTTTAGGAAACAAAGAATGGCTCTCAAACAACAGTTAACCCCAACTCTAACCCTAAAATAACTGCACTGACACATTTGTCTAAAAAGGGGGCTTGGGCTGGCCAGCTAACTCATGATGCAGTGTTGCTTCTGTCTCTAATTGGCTCCAGCAAATCTTACACTAGAGGCTTCATAGATAGGAAATATCCATATTTATTTTAAAGCATAATTGAACATAATCTGTCTTCTCTCCTGAAAATAGGGTTGTCACCTGGACTGGGACTCCTGGCTCTCCAAGTGCCATTAAAGAGTATCTTTTTTACCCCCAACTCCCTGTCCCTCCATACTTGGGCCCTGGTGCAGAAGAAAGACAAAGAGTAAAACTGAGAGGGTTTTTTTGTTAATAATAATTAAAAAAAAAAACGACTAGCCAGAGAAGACAACTAAATGCAGAATCATTAACTTTGGTCTAGAATGTGCTAGTTTTGAAACCTGAGTGCTCTTTTACCCAATAGACACATGCTGAGTACCAAATTATAATCACAATACAAGCTGTTGTATAATATTGAACCAAACTTGACACTTTAGGTTTGCTGTTGTTTCCTAACAACTTGTGGCTATTCAGCCTCCATTTGTTGATTCAATGTACACGTGCTATTCAAAAGATAGATCAGATATACAGATACAGATATAGCTATATAAGAATAGAAGAAGTTGAAGGGATAGGGCGTCAGAATGTTATTAATGTTTAAGTAGAATGTATAAAAAAGCTTCATGTAATGAGATACAGTAGAATGCTGATTCCTGGGAATGAACAAATCTCTAGCGCCATTTCCATGCAGGGATGCCAGAGGGATGTCCTGGGCAGAGGGGAAAAAAAAGATTAGGATGGAAGATCTTGGGTAAATCTGTGAATGGTGATAACTTGGGATTACTCTCTTTACCTCTGTTCCAGCAATGACAGGGGACTATCCACACCCCTGCCATTTTAAAGCATTTACCCCTTTTAAACAATAAAAATAACCTTACATAAAACTAGAATGTTGCTTGAACCAAAGAACGTGCCAACTAATAAGTTCCCAAAACATCATACACATGTATATTCAATTTATGGAAAGGTACTGACACTATTATTCAAATCCCTATATGTGCTTAAACACTGAGGTAACAGCCAAGTGCTATGCCAAAATTGTCTATAGCCTGAAGAGGATTTGAGCTGAAAAAAGAAAAGAAATATGCTTGGCTTGAGAAACTATGAGAAAATGCAGAAACAGTTTGCTACGTACATGCTGTGGATTTTAAGATGAACACCTTAACTTGCAATTTCCATGCTTTTGCAAATATGAACGCATTTTTAAGTCCTTTAATGCTTCCTAAAAGTTTTTTTTACTAAACTTATATAAAACAGGAAGGAGGAGCACAGGAAATATAAATGAGGGCCAGTGCTTCCACAACAATCATTTGTGAATACAACTATAGCTCTTTAAAATAGGAATCTTTACCATTAATTCTATTTCCTCTTGTTTTCCACTACAACCACAAACTCCATCCCACGACAACTGAAATTATAAAATTATACCCACTGGCTTACTAAAGCCAACTTACCTGGGCCATTCACAACCTGTGAGGACTTTACAGAACGACCCTGCAGCCTAGCAATGCGGCTGCTTGGCAAGCGGGAGGTAGAACTGGAAAGAGAGAAAATATAGTTTTATTCGTAGCCGTATTTGGAAGCTGGGGCTGATGGGAGTTGAACATATCTGAGAGCACCAGATTCAGAAAAGCTATTCTACAACTTCCCATGCTGTTTGACATAGTCCCTATCCAACAACCAAAAAAATTGAGACCTATTCTTACACATATTCAGAATAGATTTAATCAACTTTTTTATACAGCTTCCCATACCAAGAATCTATTAGAATGGACTATACATTCCACCTACCTTAAGCAAAAAAAAAAAAAAAAAGAACAGAAAAACTGATAAACAGATGTTACTTTATGTCAGGCGCCAGGGACAAGGTTTTATATGGCTTCACATTTCTCCATTTTTACATAGTGTTTTAGGAGCTATCCAAGTCCTGGAGCTCAGCAGCATTGCAGGAAGGGATATGTATCGGGCTATAAATGTTTGACAATTCCTAATAAGGATGACTGTCATGTACTGCATCCCGGTAGTGAGTTTAACCCAGTGTTTTTCAAACTTGGCACCTTTAAGATGTGTGGACTTCAACTCCTAGAATTCCCCAGCCAGCAGGCTGGCTGGGGAATTC